GGCCTGAGTAAGATGGTTAAGGTTAGGGTTAAGGGTGGGTTGGGGTTATTCTATGGGAATAGCTGGTTAAGTTTAGGCATGAATAGTAGTTGGCTATATTTTCTTCTGCTTCCGTCCCGATTATATATGATCTAGTGCTGACTGTATGTAGACCCTGTCCTCTAGTTTTTGGTCCATTGTTATTTTGTCGCCATGTCTTGTTTCTGGGTCTTACTTTTGGATTTATTTTCTTGTGACATCTATCACGTTTTTGCAACCCTTTTGGGTCCTTCCTTCTTTATCCATGACACATAATACTTTGTGCTGCATTACTTGTTCTTCAGTTCAGTGAAAACATGTATAGATACAGAATAGCACTATATTTTCTACAAAGTATCACTGACACAATATATAAATCACAACTTTACCTTTCCTCACAAACTACAAAAAAATATATATATATATAATTCTAATGTTCTCTGAAACTGGTGAGTGCTTCTGCCTCTAAGCATTATTGGGATTTCAAAAGTCCCCTATGACTTTGTTTTGCCTGCTACACATACACACGCTTAAACTAATATAAGCAGCCATACAGTATTTGGCGATATTTCACTTATTTACTGCGGAGGAGGAGGACTCTGCATACAAGACTTGAGGAAGGTCGGTGACAGAATCATACTTATTATTCCATATTTCTTCAAAAGAATGAGACTGTGTGGGAGTACTTTCTTTTAAAGTTGAGCTACTTTTTCTATTTACAATTACACTTAAAACATAGTTAATATTTTATTTTATTATCAGCTCTAAAGAAGAAGAATAACCCACCCCGCGTACATAATATTTTTTATGGATAGTTATTTTACATATGTGGCAGTACGAGGCCACAAGGGAGCAGTAGTGTGGAGGCTTTAAAGGACATTGGCCCATCTCCTTTGGCCTAGGCCTGCATACTTCCTGGTCCTGTGTTTTGATCCTCTGTGTTGCTCCCATGTTGCCCCACAGTCAAGCGAGGCAATGTGGAGGGTGCGTCAGCTCCCTACTTTTTATGTGCCCTACCATTTACTGGTTATGTCTTGCTGGTGTTGAGGAGAGGAGCGGCCGCTTTGCCTTTTTATCGTAGCGGAGATCTGTGGTGGCTGGAATTGTGCGCCGCGCTTTGTCTATAATAACTAATTTTAAACTATCCATCCATCCATCCATTTTCTACCCTTTAATCCATTTCTGGGTCAGGGGGGTGGCAATCAGAGATGCCACACAAGTCTCATAGCACCAGCCCCTCACTGACCCTCTGCAGGTGGTGAGTCCACAGGAGGACGGCTGCTCTCTGAGTGTGAGCATAGCCTTGATCTTTCAGTGGGGGCTTTGGGCAAAGTGGGGTTAAGTGTCTTGCCCAAGGACACAACGACAGTAGTCATCAGTGGGAGTCAGTTGAGAAGGTGTAGAGGTGGGAATTGAACCCACAACCTTGTGGCCTGAAGGCCAATGCTCTACCAACTGAGCTACTGTCACCCCCAGTTAATTTTAAACTATTTAAATAATAATGCATCGGTTTTATATGGCGCTTTTTTGAACACTCAAAGATGCTTCACATGTCACTATTCATTCACTCCAAACACGGTGGTTATAAACTACTACTGTAGCTACAGCTGCCCTGGGGCACACTGACAAAAGTAAGGCTTCGGCCCCTCTGACCACCACCAACCATTCACACACACTAGACTCATGGGGATGAAGTGTTTTGCCTAAGGACACAATGGTAGCTTGGCAGTTTACAGCCACAGCCTCTGCACTGTGGCATTCCCGGAGGTTAAGTGTCTTGCCCAAGGACACAACGACAGCGAGCATCAATGGGAGTCTGTGGAGAAAGTCTTGTGGTGGGCTCTTACTCACGACCTTCAGGCTCTACCACGTGTGGGCGGCACGGTGGCTGAGTGGATAGCACTCTCGCCTCTCAGCAAGAAGGTCCTGGGTTCGAATCCCGGTTGGACCAGGGCCTTTCTGAGTGGAGTTTGCATGTTCTCCCCGTGTCTGCGTAGGTTTCCTCCGGGTGCTCCGGTTTCCCCTACCACTAAAAATATGTACAATAGGTCTGGCATGTGCCTCCTGTACTGGCGACCCCCACTCCCAAAAATCACAATTGTAAACCGCTTTGAGACTCCGATGTGCAGTGAAAAGGCGGTATATAAATAACTAATACTAATACTAATACTAAAAAAATACTACCAACTGAGCCACTGTCGCCCCATTTATAACATTAAGTACAAATAAAGAGAGTCAATGTTAATCTGCCTCAGTCTCTTCATAAAACTTACTTGTGTGCTTTCTTCATTCATTCTAATGGCGTTGCTGATAATGTCTGTTATTGTTCTCATTTAAACTACACCACCACCCAGATATACATATAACAATAGTAAAAAGGACATCAAACCCGGCTGAATCGATCTAAAGCTGCGTTCCCACCCCCAATGCATGGACGTGTGTTAAGAAAGGCATGGACGGACGCACGTTCACTAAATTTCAGCTGCACAAGTTTAGTCAATCTGACGTATTGCCCTGTGATGGGAAAAAAACACTGGACGGAAGTGGTGGGCGGGCTTTGATGCTAATGAGTTTAAGCTAGCGGCTTTTTGTGTAAAGTCTTCCTCTTTGAGTGCAGCTCTCTGTGTTCCAGAGAGTCTCTAGAGTCTTCGTAAAACAGCAGTATCTGCTCACGGAGCTGAGCCATCATGTGTTTTCACCCCATCTCAACTCCCCACTCTTCTTTTAACAACGAATTTAGTTTGTTCACCTAAATATTCAAATGTACAGTTTGAATGAACTCGCCTTTGCACAGATCTGAGCTTGTCTAAATAGATAGATAGTGACAATAGCACTCCTTGTCCGACTATGTTGAATGTGCTGGATTGTAAATAAAACATTCAACTACAAAAGAACATGGAATGGGATGAGACAAACGGGTAGTCTCCCCCATAAATAATAAAGGTTTATATTATATTTGACAAATGTATTCAAAGCAGTTTAAAGGTTTTGCTCATTATTGTTATTCTCTTTGATAATCCAAAGCTGTAATGCGTGTCTCATTTGGATAAATCTGTCATTTGTTCAGCCTCTCTCCTCCACCTGCAGCCTACAGTGACACTGCAGCTATCCACCAAAAGATAATTGTATTAATTAGAACAGTGTGATTCATTATCTGAGCAGTGAGTGGGGGAACAGCCAGAAGGTAATCAAAAAGCCTTTACTTTACTAAATAAACTGTTGGAGGAGAAGGAGAGCCAAAAGGAGCTACAGACGCAGAGCAGATTCAGCCTGAAGTTCACTAACATTATTGCTTCTTTGCCCTTGACTTGATAGTCTTTAAAGTCACAATTGCCCTATAAAGTTACTATGGGCTTATAACGTCACTATGTGCCTATAAAGTCACTATAGATCTATAAAGTCACTTAATATGAGACTGTTGGACCATAAATGAACCTGGAGTTATTTTTGTATCAAAAGAAAGGTTCTGAAAGGTAGGTGTGAACAACACCCAGAGCAGCTTTTGTGGTGGAGGTAAAATGCTGTGGTACCTCTAATGGTCTGGGAGCATGTGTTCATCCAATTCCCCCCATGCTCTAGATGGGTTTTTTTTGCACTTAACACCCCAGTCTTTATATTCCATGTGTGTGTGTTTTTTTTTTAATGCAGGCATAGATACAACAAGCAGCAACATAAGTTCAGGTGGAGCAGTGGCGCAGGTGGAAGAGCATTGGTCTTTCAGTCCAAAGGATGTAAGTTCTAATCCCCATGGAGAAATATTCCATAGACTACAATTGATACTTGCTGTTGTGGAGTCCTTGGGAAAAATACTTAATTCAAAATGGCGGAAGTTGTGAAATATGTCATATGATCAACAAATAACGTATAGAATTAAACATCAGAATGACTTGGATTGAATAAAGAGAAATTACCAAAACTAAGTGATGGTAGAAGTGTTTAAGCGTGGCGCATGTTAAGAGACAATTCTACTACAAAAACCCGCCGAAATGATCCGAAACCACTCGCCCAATCCAGTTTTTTTCCCGCCCCTACTGGTTCAACCAGCAGAGATTGGGTTTCATAGACTAAAAATAACAATTATAATAATATTACACTTTCTGTATATTCTATTTACATTTACATTACCAGGAAAGTGCTATAGATTCAAATACAATGCAAAAAAAAAAAAACACTAAAAGAAGATTAAATATTAATCAAAACTAGACTACTACACTGACATGAACCAGGAACCGTCCCCATAGACTGCATGTAAAGCTGGTGATGTGGCTAAAAATGTAGTTCAATTCCACTCTTTTAGACTACGTTTAGCAACAATCAGAAGCTCACATATGCACAGCAGTCCAGCGCAGAGATAACACAGACGGGTCACTCACCAGTGTGGCTCTGGTTTCATCTGTATCAGTCAGGAGCCTGTCCTGTCTCTGCTATGGGTCCAGGGGAAATACTGATGAAAGAAATATTGAATGTCCAGAACAGATGAGTTAGTCGTATCTCATTCATGCTGAAGTTTGAGTCCTGGTTTTGTTCTCCGAGGCCCAGTTCAGTCCTCAAAGTCACCCATCACCCATGCGTGAAAAATTACTGTGGACCGAGGCACTAAGGCTGCAGTCATATGCGCTTCCAAGTTTGATCCGGGCTTTAGGTGCCATCTGACCATTCGTGCCAGAGCACGATTCCTGGAAGACATGGGCCAAAGCCCGTGCTGGAGCGCGGATGAGGGGGGTCAGTGTGGGGAGCGGGGGATGAGGTGTGATATAGACCGTCAGATTACGCCTTCCTCCTGCGCCCAGTGTGACGTGTATAAAATGCGTCCACAACACTGTAAACACATTTGGACATGTAGAACTGCAGAGAGAAGATGTCTAGCTTCAAGGGCTCTCGTTGGTCTGACCTGGAGACCGAGTGAGATCTGGTAAGACACATCTATCCAGGACATGCTCGACAAGACCCACAAGAATACACTGGTGTTCAAAAAACTAAGCATGTTCCTGGCGGAGAGGGGCTACAACAGGTCTGTGGTCCAATGCCGGGACAAGATCAAGAAGCTTAGGACTCAGTACCATCGCGTCCTCAGCCTAAGCAAGTCCGGCTCTTCCGCGGAGGAAAAGGAGAATTTTTTGTGGTATGAAGCTGTGGACGGAATACTGGGCACCAAGCCAACCACCCGGCCAAAACTGTTGGAGTCAACTCGTCGTTTGCAACTGATAAGTGGTGAGTATTGAAACCCCAGCTGTCTATACAAGTTTCCATTTACAAAACACCTACAAATTACATATTGATTGTGTATGACGATGATATGTTGTAAATATTGAATTGAACGTACCAAAGTAGGCCTTGGGCGCATATGCTAATGCGTGCCTTTGTTCGAAGGAATGTACAGGTAGACCTGCATGTGTATTCACTAATGAAGAGGGGTCTTCACAATTGCAAGGATCCTAGAGACGTGCTATAAAATACAATGTTGTTAAGAGTTTTTTAGGTGCAGCACTGGTGTTGTCAATCAATCAAATGACAAATGCTTTTTTTTGTGTGCAGCCGAACAATCTACAGAGACCGATACGAGCCTCGGAGAAGAAAGGGCAGTTACACTCCTGGAGATGCCTGAACCAGCAGCAACGAGCACACCTGGTCCACGGCAGGCGACCAGCAGACCCAAGGCTGCTGATATGTCTGGGTCAACTGAGACAGTAGCAGAGGTGAACGTCCACGGCACCTCATCAGCAATACCCATGAGACCGTCCTTGGGGCGCTAAAGGAAGAGGGTCCAGGAGCCTGCCTTTGAGGCCTTCATGGAGACGCAAAGGATGCTTGCAGACTTTCTGCAGGCGGAGGAGCGACGCCATGTTGAATTTATGCAGATGGAAGTGCGCTTCCGACAAGAAGACTCGAGCAGGACAGACATGCGGCTCGAACGGATGATGCAGCATCAAACAAATTTGATCCAGATGCTGCTTGCCACACAAAATGCCACCCCTCACCCAGTAAATCACTTCCAACGAGGGGGGGCACCAGGACGGCAGTTTCACAATTTGTAAAGAACCATCAATGCACTTTTGTAAATAGTTGGCTGTGCTGTTTGTAGTTTGCTGTGTATTATGAATATGTTTGTTTGCACTATTTTTGGAGATTTTATTTATTGTTATTTTTTAAAAATGTTTTTATTAACACAAAAAGCATATTACATTGCAATTACACAGTACAATTTTTTTGTTGTAAATAAATGCACATCCATATTACTCAATTACAGTCAATTAGCATCTTTTATGCATAAAAAAAACCCAGCTCCACGCATTATGTTACAACACCACCAAATATACAAATAACACAAATTATCTAGCATATCCAAAGGAGTACAATACACTTTTTAAATAGGCAACGACTCCAGATTAGAAAAGTGGGAAATAAAAGATTGCCACACTTGGGAAAACCTGTGGGAATGCCCCCTTAATGTATATTTAATTTTTTCCAGTTTAAGAAAAAACATCATATCCTTGAGCCATGAGGAGATGGAGGGATACCTTGCAGACTTCCAATGCAAAAGTAATAGTCGTCTTGCTATCAAGGATGTAAATGCAATAATGGCTTTTCGTGTGGAAGTCATTGCGAGAGAAGAATTAGTGATCCCAAATATCGCAATCAGTGGAAAAGATTGTAGATTTACACCAAGAACAGTTAACATAATTGTACTTTACAATTATGTCCAAAAATGTTGTAGATCAGGGCAAAGGAAAAACATATGGCTAAGGTGACAGGGAGATCCTTTACATTTATCACATCTGTCTTCGGTGTCTGGATACATTACAGAGAGTCTTGATTTAGAAAAATGTACCCTGTGCAAGACTTTAAATTGGATAAGACTAAGGCGAGCACAAGAAGTAGTGGATCTTATCCTACCCATAGCTTTGTCCCAGAGGTCCCCACTCAGAGAAATTCCAAGCTCCTTTTCCCCCACAACTTTGATCTTAATATTTGACTGCCCATTTAATGACAAAATAGAGTTATAAACCTTTGATATTACCCCTCTCTGAGATGGACTAAAAAAAAGCAAATTGTCCCAAGGTCTTTCAGGTGGTAAGCGTGGAAAGTCAACAAAGCTACCCCGAACAAAGTTCCGTACTTGAAAATAACGAAATGTATGGGTGCGCGGTAAACCATACTTGGAAGACAAATCTGTGAAACTGTCAAATACACTGGATGGAGATTTTATTTTGAAAAAAATTATTGCTGGCAAACAAAATTGTGCTGTGTGAATTTAAATCTGCATGAGTCTACATGCTAGTTCTGTATTTACCATTATGCTTGACCACACACTGCACCATGAAGCACACCTTTAATGTGTATCAATTTAAGCCTGTAACATTTCTGTCTTATGAGATGTAGATGGCCTCTAGTCACTGGCAGCTGTATAACACCATTATTACCTACTCCATTCATCTGATAATTCACTACTTTTCCCGCTATTACTATTCTTTATTCTCCTTATTATCAGCTGCTAAAGTACAACATAAGTATTGCATGATGCTGACTAGTGTAGATTCCACCCAAGTAAAGTCCTTAAACCAACACCAAGTATAGCTCAAGCCCCGGCGATCCAAGATGGCGCCCTATTCAAATGAATGGTTGTGCTCAGTGGCGCTTTGTGACGGCATGGGGGCTGAAAGATTATCGGAAGTCGCCTGGAACTCGCAAAGATCTATGGGAAACTCGCCTGTATTTGGGCATCGTCTGGTCCTCCCGGTTCTGCGCAGTGGATGATCTCCCATAATGCGTTGCGCCAAATACACGTGTGTGGGTCTCACACCGGGTCTCACGCACGTGCACAGAGGGGCTCGGCCGCGCTCTGACCAATCAGAGCAGTTCATCAGAGCGGGATTTAGAGCGAGAGCCAGACGGGCAGAGTTTGTGGCACCAAAGTGTGGATTTAAAGAAAACCAAAGGGTTTTAAGAAGAAAAAAAGTTCAGGATGACAAGGGACACTAAAATCCCCACACAATTCGATCTTTATTAAATCTGTAGGTTCTCTGTCAGCTGAGGTTGAGATGTTTTAATATGCATTGAGTTCTATGGGGAACATTTCTGGGTAGCCCACGTGAATTTAGTCTGGTCTAGTCTGCAGTACCGCGAGAATCCCCCGAGCACATGGGTTATTCATCTACAAGCTAGCAATACCCTATACAGTTAATATAATAGATCCATGGTATAGCTCCAGAATTTGTATTGTCAAATTATCTTAAAGAACAGATTGTTTGTGTGCAAAAATGACTTTGATATTTACCTACTGTTGGGACTGTCTCCTCTGTTCTGACCTCACTGACACAACCCATATCATAGACTTTTTTTGGAAAACAAAATGCACCAAGGGTAAGTGGTTTACACAGGAAAAAGAAAACAAATTTCCATTCCAAAAATATTCAAGTTAAAAAAAAATATTTCACATGTTTGCAGGCAAACAACAAAAAATGCTGCATCTCAAAACTAGCTTTAGCAAAAATTAAGTAAATTTAAAAAAGCACCAATACAAAAATCCAAAATAATTTAAATGCATGCAGCACACAAATCAAATAACTCCTACAAGCAAGGACGCTTTGATGGTTTTGAAAAAAAGGTACACAGACATTGCAGTAATTTTTCAAGACTATTCAAAAAAATAACTTTGATTCCAAATCAGTCCTCCCCATGTTTAGTACTGACTCTGGGCACCAGCAGGAGGCCAGTCCCTGCGCTCCTCAGAGTCTCTGCAGGAGGCCAGTCCCTGTGCTCCTCAGAGTCTCTGCAGGAGGCCAGTCCCTGCGCTCCTCAGAGTCTCTGCAGGAGGCCAGTCCCTGTGCTCCTCAGAGTCTCTGCAGGAGGCCAGTCCCTGTGCTCCTCAGAGTCTCTGCAGGAGGCCAGTCCCTGTGCTCCTCAGAGTCTCTGCAGGAGGCCAGTCCCTGTGCTCCTCAGAGTCTCTGCAGGAGGCCAGTCCCTGTGCTCCTCAGAGTCTCTGCAGGAGGCCAGTCCCTGTGCTCCTCAGAGTCTCTGCAGGAGGCCAGTCCCTGTGCTCCTCAGAGTCTCTGCAGGAGGCCAGTCCCTGTGCTCCTCAGAGTCCATGTTGGTCACAGTTGTACTGTATGGCGAGACTTGAGGAGAGTACCACAGGAAGCCAGTGCATTTTGCTGAAGGTCATTTCAGTTTTAGTTTGACTTACACATAATGTGAAGGTGGTTAGAGGTTTAAGAATATATCGGTAATTTTTAGATTTAAAACTAGCGATCTCTCTCTGCTTGTTTTAAAGACTGTCCTGAGGAAGTAGAGGCAGAACCAGAGGAGCACGAGCCAAAGCCACAAAAGGAGTCTCCACAGCCGTCCACCCCATCGGGGGGCTCCAGGAGAAACCCTCCCGGGGGGAAGTCCAGCCTGGTCTTGGGATAAGGCCACTCTTTTTCATTCAAATGCTTTTTTTATTTTTTAAAGATATCACCCACCTCTCTGTCCCCCTCATCACCTCTCCCCCCTCCTCTTGTGCGTTCTTGCCCCCAAACCCTTCGTTTTAAACCTTTTTTCTATTAAAATATGAAAAACTGTTGAAAAAGGCACTTTATGTATTTTTCCGTCCTGTTACATTCAGCCCATCCTGTAGTGCATCACGCCTGCTGGAAAAGGCATGCTTGTCTCGCGTTTCTCCCTTATTGTAAATGGTAAAAGATACAAAAATGCTAAAAAGATTTGAAGCGTGGATTTCTAAATACAATAAAGATTGATATGAAATTCTTGTGACTATTCTTTTTTTCAGCATCTTTTAGTTTCTGGAAAAGATGCAAAAACAAATCTTTGAAACGGAAAGTAAATGTGACCTAAAATCTACAGTCAAGCCTAGTTAGGTCATTTTTCTGCGCAGTGCAGTGGACTGGAGACAGTTCTAAGAAACCCAGACTTTGAAACTGGACGACTGCCCAGCCTAAGTAATCACAAGGCCAGCTCTGTCAGATGAGAAATGTCTTCAAATAACACCACGCTCCCATTTTCTGGAGATTTTTTCAAACAAAGTAAAATGATGATAATGGGATTGTGTGCATAGGTCTTTATTAGGAAATGTGTGCTTGAAAGAATCATATTTGACAAAGTCGCGTTTTAAATAGCTCGACTCAATTTTGCAAATCAAATACAGATATTTATTTAACCACTGAAGTATAATGATCAACAAAACTGATGCTGCTCATGTTTGTATTACGTATTTCTTGCCAAAAACAGACTTCAGTCTTTTGGTACTTCCAACCAAAACGACCCAAAATCCCCTGATCAAAGGTCTCCATACCCTGCTGATTTTGGCCGCACACATCGACACAATCAGATTAGAATATAATGACATCACCCAACAATGGTCTCATGAAAAAGGTCTGGAACTCTTCTACATATCAGTCTTTTGCATTGCTTTTGATTGACTTAATACGTTTTACATTTTCTGAATTCTTCTTGTTTGTACTGGTTGATAGGCGGAAATGTTGATACTACAATCAAAGGCCGACTGTATTTAGTGATTTACTGGTGAATGGAGTCTCTAAGCTTCTTACTATGGGTCTAAGAAGCAGATCATCTCAGTAAAATAAAGCTTCATGTAAATCTAATCCTAGCTTGAATAAATCTCTTGATTAAGAGCTCAGGTATTGAATACTCGGGACACAAGGAGACATCATGGCAAGTTATTTTTAACTTGTATTGGAACAGTAATGAAAAACATGTATTTGTCCTTGAACCCTTGTGCTACCCTTGGGTCTAAATGATCAATCACATATGTTTTAAAGTAGGGCTAACCAGGGCTTGTCAAGTGGGGAAAAAACATCCAAATTCAACTCTTAAAAACAATTATTTAGGGTATTTTTAAAATAATTGTAGGTTAATTTTACCCGAGGATAGCACTTAAATTTGTGAGTGTGCAAGGGAGACTCTTAAAGCAAGCCACCGTTTATGCTGCTGTACTCCCAAGTGTGAAGAGTGATGTGACGCACCAGTGCATTTCAGCCTCGTCTTGTCTCACGCCATGGTCACTCCAGGAAAGAGC